GCTGTGTTACAGGGAGGGATTTTGTTGATTCTGATACTAGTCACAACAGGTATAGTGTGGACATCAGTAGTGCCTAGTAATGGGGCAGTACAGCCTCCTGGCCACTGTGGGGAGCTATTATGATTAGTAGGTGAGGGATAGGTTGGCTGGTGAAGAGAAGAGGTGAACAAGAGTGGACCTGCGTCAGAGGATAGTCAAGGTAACAGTAACTGTAATTTAACTGAAATCATGACTGATTGTTGAGTTGAAGCCAAAGTAAGCTGCAGTCCTCAGCTGAAAATGTGACCACGTGCGTTTGTTGTTCTCCTTTTTGGGCCGTGAGTTGTAACCTCACAGTCAGGAGTTAACTGGGTGTCGGGGAGCTGCACCTTTTAACTCCCCTCCAGCTCTCTCTGCTACCTGCCTGTGCTAATCCATCCTTTCACCCAGATTCTTTGTCTTTATAATAACAAACAACTGTTTCATGTGCAGGATCGCTCATTTCCCGCTTCAAATTTCACATGTGATTTCTTGATAAAACATGGTTTGGAGACCTGCGTCAGGTGACACAGCCGCTGTCAGCTCTTGTAGTGTGTGTCCCTGTCACCGATCAGTAAAGTAATGTGAACGCCACAACGACTTCAAGACTGCTGTCAAGTTTTGTGAACAGCTGAAAGTCGTGTAGTCTGCACGAGCCTTTAGTATAACTTGTACTCGGGTGATGTTTGTGTTTGTAAAGCAGCTGTCTGGTTGTTGGTCTGATGTTTGTTGTATGACACACTGAATTTCCGAAAGGACTAATAAATATATATCACATAAACATGCACAGCTGATCCTGTTACGGGGGGGGCGCCACCGCAAAGCAAAAGTACTTCTTAAACGACGCATCGATGAATCGTTGAAATAATCTATAGAAGCTTTGAATACTAAAATAATCATTAGCTGCAGCCGTACCCTGAACGCACCATCAGTTACTGTCTGTGTAACGGAGTTAAAAATGCACTTTAATGATTCTTATTTTCAAATTTGCATCTGTGGAATTTATTTATCATTTAATGTTTTTATTGAATAATTGTGAATTTTATCTCATTGAGTTATTTTTCATTTATCTTTATTTTTGCTAATGTTCCCTGTGGAAATGATCCTAGCTGCACACTATCCCTTCTGTACCTCCTAATCTTCCGTAGTGCTCCGTTTCCCTCAGTCTCGTTTTGCACTGCGAAGGCTAAGTTGTGTGGAAAAGTGCTGCTGGGCTAACGTATTGTTTACTTTGGAAAGTGAACCATTTACGTTATAACTTTCAACACATGTTGTCTGATGTCAATACAGTGATTTACGTAGCAGTTTTGTGTTAGTTCGATCGTGGCCTTTGGCTTTCTATCCCAGACTGTGAAGTTGTCTGATTTCACATGAGAGTCATCGAGATACATTAATTCCCCTAACCCTAACCCAACATGACTGCAGCTTTGACTTCCAGCAGCAGCTGGTTAAGGTCAGAGAAAGATGAAGGTCTGGTTTATTACAGAAAAAGTGACTTTTAAAAAAAGAGTCTGCTGCTTTTTAAAGGCGTGAAGAGACTGAGGAACGTAAGTCTAAAGAAAGAGCGTTCCACAGTGTCGGAGCCAATACTTCTACTGTTTTCAATCGAGCACGAAGAACAACCAGAGAGCTCTGGTCAGAAGACCTAAGTGATCTACTGGTCAGACAAAATAAATCAATAATATTTAAACATTTAATTCTCCTTTTTTGTACTATTTCAGCAGTGGTATTTATGTTTATTAGGTTTTTATGCACAGCTCCTCTTCAGTTTATCGTTGATGTAATTTATTTAAATGGTCGGGGGGGCAGTAATGGGTTGTTAATTATTTTAGATCATTACAGCCTAAATTGTCATCATTTAAAGTGTTATTTTATAGTGTAAAGTTAAGATCACAGTGGTAAGAATCTAAAACTCTGTGTATGTGTGTGTGTGTGTGTGTGTGTGTGTGTGTGTGTGTGCTCCTCTCTTTGTCTAAAGAAAAAATGTAGAAGCAGAATTAGTGAAAATTGTGTTAAAAAACATACGTCAATATAGTCACAGTAAGAATGTCTTGTCTTTAGCGCGCAGCACAAAAGACACCAGCTTATTCCACAAAGTCAGGTTTTTGGTGAAAATAGCATGATCAGCAGAGGGCAGGTCATCATTTTTGATCATTTTAGTATCTTTAATTAGTAGTAATCATTCTTAATTAATCATTCTTAATCATTTTATTATCCTTAATTAGCATTAATCATTAATCATTATTAGTCAGTTTATTAATTATCCTTACTTACTTCTTAATCTTTGTACATTACCGAGATGTGTCTTATTTTCTACTTAGAAGTGCTGTAATCATGAATGCAGTAACGAAGTTAAGATCCCTGAGTGGGAGCATTGACCGTAGACACTGAGACTCTGCACACCTTGTTCAACTGTTATCTACTGTAGATTTATGACAGCAGGAGAGGCTGCAGGTGTTCAAACTCTGCTGTGACAAGTGCATGTTTTGGTCTACTGTTATCTTCTGCTGTTATGATAACATGACGAACTGCCGAGGTGTCGGTCTGCTGATATTAAGACTACATGTTTAATTACTGATTAAGGGGCTGATTGCCAACTTCCAACCTCTGATGCTTAGAGCCTGTGTGAGCTTTGAGTGAACTTGCTGAAGGAGCATTTGCTAACTTTGCATGGCAGAATGGGTGAACTTCTGAGGCAGAGAGTGGATGAACAAATGATGATAAGCAGAAAGTAGAAAACAGCCAGCATAACAACAAGATTACTGTAAGAAACCAAGCATTAATGAAAGGCACAGCACAACATATGTTATTCCTGTAGTGATTTTTAAAAAATATAATTGTGTGTCAAATTATAGACGCGTAACTTTTGAAAAAACGGTGAGATTTGAGTTGAAATGTAAATGATGAATTTCTTATCCTGTAATATAAAAATATAGAAAGTCAACAACACAGAATGATGAATGAAAGCTGGAAACGTTGTTAATTGGTATAGCAACACGTGTAAGTAGCTAAAAAACAGAGGATAAGAAATTCATCATAAAGAAAGGAGGGGGCAAACCAGCCCAGAGGGGGATACATAATGCTGTCTGCAGACCATAGGGTTGACTTCATCCTCCGGCCTGCTGGATGTTGTACGGGTTTATCTGTCCTGTTTTGGAATAAACTCTTTTGCACCGACTCGAGAAGTTTTTCACTGCAAACTTATATTATATAACCTATAGTGGAAAGCAAAATGGAGTATTTTTTAACAAAGTTTATAAAGCTGGTGAAGGTGGGGACCAGGCTTAACTGGCCCAGCCTGGTCGCACATCTGACCCAACAGCAGACACCTTCACCATGGAGTAAATGGTAAATGCTGTAATGGAAGCGCAGACAAGCGTCTAACACTCTCTGGGAACTCGTAAAAATCCAACTTCATGTGTCAAATGCAGCATTATTACCTGGTGTTCTGACCCTGCCTGCCTGGATCAAGTAAAACTGAACTTGGATCTTTATATTGTCTGTCTCTGAGTCGTGTGAACGGCTGCACCACTGCCAGTTTCCTCTGAAACACAGTTACAAATAAACTAAATTTAGGTTCAAACTAAGCATCAAGTTCATTTGCGACAATGACGTGTTTCACCTTCTAAATAGAAGAAGAGGAAGTTGAACGTGAGAAGATTGTTAGTTAAGATATATGTTTGCAGTAATGCGACTTGTTTTGAATCTGACTCTGACCAGAATCTGACTCCTGATGTCCATGGTGCAATATGGTGATACTGTAGCAGCTGCTGAAGAACACAGATAAGATGATATTTTACTGCTCTGAGATCTGCTGGTTCCTCATTTTATCTTTGCAGCTCTTTTTTGAGATCTGAAGAGGAAGTGTTTCAGTGAGAATGTGGTTAACAACAGCAGCAGAGCTCTGGAGGTTTTACACGCTGGTTAATTTGGCTCTCAAAAGTGACTCAGTCAAGATGAGCGTTGTCCCACTTCCTCTTAGTTTGCTTTAATTACTTTCATACAGGAACATGAAAAATAACCTGAACAGAGATATAGATGTTAAAATGACTGCATATCAAACAATAACAGCTGATACAGAAATAAGAGTAAAAACTAATACATGTTTAACTACAACACAGCACTAGCACATTAAAGTGCCTGACAGCAAGTTCATCAAGCTAAATGTCCCATATATTATCATAAAATAATTCAAATAATAAAACATTTATCAGTTCTCAGTGTAAATTACCTGTAATGATATGAGCTGTAACTACACTGTGGTCTCTTATTTGTTTGGTTTGTTGACGGTGGCGTAGAGGTCGCTGGGATCAGCTGAGGCTCCAGCAGAAGAAGAGGAAGCTTTCACGCTGCTGTAGGTCACTGCATCATCTTCATCATCACCATCTTTACCCAGAACCTGGAAAAGAGACAAACAGCACAACACAGAAATTACACAACATTAAATGAGAGAAGTGTTTTCATTCACTGCCATCATCACTAGAACCAATCAGACAGCTTACCCGGCCTTTACTGTTGGTCTTCCTGGTGTAGCTGATGGAGGCGTAGGAAACACCATCTTCAGGATCAGCCTACACAGAGAAGACAACATAATGGCTGCTCAGTAACATGTGGACTTGATTGTGTTCTGGTCTGTTCTGGTGTCGTCCAGCTGCATCATCAGACTCCCCACTTCTTCTCTTGCAGAAAGAACTTAGATTCAAGAGTCACTGTGTGTCTCATAGAGCTACATTTTGAACAACAAATCTAAAAACAGTGAGTGTAACTTTGTCCTGGGTGTAGTGTGAGATCTCACCGTGTCCTGACTGCTTTCTGGACTCACTGCAGGGTTTAAGCTCCGTCCCTGAAAACAACAAACAAACAGAGTCTACTTCCATGTGGTCAAACACTGGCTCTGTGAAGGCTGTTTAGATTTGGATGACTCTGTCAGAGAGCAGCTGATTCAGCTCTGTCATAACTGTAGAAACATTTGATTACTCAGCCGTAAAACTCACAGTGTTTTCATCCATCTGGGTTTTTTTTCCTGAAGAGACAAAAGAGAGTCGACTTTAGCTTCAACAATAAAAAATCCAGGTTCATCAAAACTTCTTGTTTATAATATCTGTGGTTGCTCTCACCTTTAGTTTTCTTCCATATGATGAGAGCAACAACAATAACAACTATTAACAGGGCGGCAACTCCAACAGACACCTTGAGCAGCAAATCTGGAAAGAGAATTAAAATCATCTTATTTGGTATTTTATTTTGTGTGAACACATTTTGACTGAATAAGAGAATATCTCCACCCACGGCTGAGAGAGAGAGATGGTTTATTCTAAAAACAGCTTGAGAGTGGTGTTGGAGGGAAAACATATGACATCATAAAGTCAATCTATACAAATAACAAATGTTTGGTGGAAATTGGTAATAAACATGCAGAATATGATTCACAAGCGCGTGGCTTACGCCAGGGTTGTAATTTGAGTCCAACTCTCTCCAATATACCGTACATGTTGACAAATTTGCAAAAACACTAGAAAAATCTCCAGCACCTGGCCTTACACTGCACGACACACAGATTAAATGCCTTCTATGTGCAGATGACTTAGTCCTCCTATCCCCGACATAAAGAAGGACACTTATCCTGCATGACAATGCATCACAAAAATTACACATATCTGGGCTTAAACATGAGCACAGCAGGAAACTTCAACATGGCTGTGAAAGAGGGACAAAGCAATGCCTACGTCATCAAGAAATATAAAATTTACATACTAATTTAGATATGACTAAAGATTTTCACATCGATCTTTTCAAACAATTGTCCTTTATGGGAGGTAAATATGGGGTCCACTCACAGGTCTAGATTTTGAAAAATGGGAGAAACACCCACTGAATCTTTTCATACAGAATTCTGTAAGAGCATTTTGTATGTAGAAAGAAAAACCCCAAACAACGTCTGCAGAGCAGAACTAGACCAATACCCACTGATAATCAGAATCCAAAAAAGAGCTACCAAATTCTACAACCATCTAAAATCAAGCAACCCAAATACCACAAAGCCCTGACCTGCCAGGAGACAAAGCCAGATTGGAGTTCCCTAAAACAGTTAATTTTGAGGCTACCCTCCCCCGAACCTCACAGATCCTCAGGACAACAGACACACGATCACTCTAGACCGAATAGCAAATACACATAAAGAAAAATACATCACACATTGGAAGAAAAACACTCAGAATCAGAACAAACTCCAGTGTTATTTGGCCTTAAACAGAAGCATTACATTAGCAAAATACCTCACTAACATACCCAGCAAACAAACTACGGAGAACCTTGACCATGTACAGACTCAGTGATCATAACCTAGCCATAGAGACAAACCTTCAGAGGAAAGGATCTGCTCACTTTGTACATCACAGGAAATAGAAAATGAACAACACTTCCTCACAACATGTGAAAAACACAAAGATCTAAGAGAAAACTACTTTCCCAAATTACTGAAACCTATCCTGAATATGAGACCAAAAATAATAAAGGAAAACTTCCATACCTACTAGGTGAAACACAAAGATGTGACATAATTGCAGCTAAATATACACGTACATGCCAAAACCTGAAGACAACCAGAGGAACACAAATATAAAACCATCATACCGTTATTGTTATTATAGTCATAATGTTTGTTGGTGTGTTTTCTTTTATTGTATTACTGTTGCTTTGGTAGTATGAACATTATTCTGTTGTGCTAATAAAGCCATTTTGAAATTGAAAACTGAAAATTGAGAGAGAGAATCAATGATCAATAAAACAATAATAATTTTTATCACTTCCTATTTTCTTTTTCATACTATGATGAACGGCCAGTTTTGTCTTTCCAAAAAGTGACTTAATTAAAGAAAAGTTGTCTTTTGCCATTAAAATGCCAACAAAACTCTAATGACTCTAATAAAAAGTAAAATAAGGAAGTTTAGTATGAAGAGAGAAAGAGACAGACAGGCTCAAGAGAAAGATGAGTTACTACCTTGTTTTGTTGAAGGATCTTTGGTTGTTGTGGCTGTAACGGATTTTGAGGTGTTTTCAGTTGTTGTTGTTGGTTTAGTTGTTGTCGTTGTTGTTGTAGGTTTAGTTGTTGTCGGTTTAGTTGTTGTTGTTGTAGGTTTAGTTGTTGTTGTTGTTGTTGTTGTTGTAGGTTTAGTTGTTGTTGTTGTTGTTGTTGTTGTAGGTTTAGTTGTTGTTGTTGTAGTTGTTGTTGTCGGTTTAGTTGTTGTCGTTGTTGTTGTTGTAGGTTTAGTTGTTGTTGTTGTTGTTTTAGTTGTTGTTGTTGTTGTTTTAGTTGTTGTTGTAGGTTTAGTTGTTGTTGTTGTCGTTGTTGTTGTAGGTTTAGTTGTTGTCGTTGTTGTTGTTGTAGGTTTAGTTGTTGTTGTTGTTGGTTTAGTTGTTGTTGTTGTTGTTGTTGTTGTTGTTGTTTTAGTTGTTGTTGTTGTTGTTGTTGTGTTGTTTAGTTGTTGTTGTTGTTGTTGTTGTTGTTGTTGTTGTAGGTTTAGTTGTTGTTGTTGTAGTTGTTGTTGTAGGTTTAGTTGTTGTAGGTTTAGTTGTTGTCGTTGTTGTTGTTGTAGGTTTAGTTGTTGTTGTTGTTGGTTTAGTTGTTGTTGTTGTTGGTTTAGTTGTTGTTGTTGTTGTTGTTGTTGTTGTTGTTGTTGTTGTTGTTGTAGGTTTAGTTGTTGTTGTTGTAGTTGTTGTTGTAGGTTTAGTTGTTGTAGGTTTAGTTGTTGTCGTTGTTGTTGTTGTTGTTGTAGTTGTTGTTGTTGTTGTTGGTTTAGTTGTTGTTGTTGTTGTTTTAGTTGTTGTTGTTGTTGTTGTTGTTGTTGTTGTAGGTTTAGTTGTTGTTGTTGTAGTTGTTGTTGTAGGTTTAGTTGTTGTAGGTTTAGTTGTTGTCGTTGTTGTTGTTGTAGGTTTAGTTGTTGTTGTTGTTGGTTTAGTTGTTGTTGTAGGTTTAGTTGTCGTTGTTGGTTTAGTTGTTGTTGTTGTTGTTGTTGTTGTTGGTTTAGTTGTTGTTGGTGTAGTTGTGTTGTTGTTGTTGTTGTTGTTGTTGTTGGTGTTGTTGTTGTTGTTGTAGGTTTAGTTGTTGTTGTTGTAGGTTTAGTTGTCGTTGTCGGTTTAGTTGTTGTTGTTGTCGTTGTTGTTGTAGGTTTAGTTGTTGTAGGTTTAGTTGTTGTTGTTGTTGTTGTTGTAGGTTTAGTTGTTGTTGTTGTAGGTTTAGTTGTTGTTGTTGTAGGTTTAGTTGTTGTTGTTGTAGGTTTAGTTGTCGTTGTAGGTTTAGTTGTCGGTTTAGTTGTTGTTGTTGTCGTTGTTGTTGTAGGTTTAGTTGTTGTAGGTTTAGTTGTTGTTGTTGTAGGTTTAGTTGTCGTTGTAGGTTTAGTTGTCGGTTTAGTTGTTGTTGTAGGTGTAGTTGTTGTCGTTGTTGTTGTAGGTTTAGTTGTTGTCGTTGTAGGTTTAGTAGTCGTTGTTGTTGGACCTGTTGTTGTTGATTTAGTTGTCAGAGATATTGTGAGAGAAAGACAAAAACAAGAGTAAAGTTAACTTCATCACTGTGATCATAATTATTGTAATGTTTCAGTATATTGTTCTAACAAGACAGTTTGAGCTGAAAACATTATGATGGAAATACTCACTGATAATAACAGACAGATAAACCAGAGAGTCTGGAGCTTGTCGTTTGTCTGATTTGTTGAACTGTCTGCAGCTGTAATGACCAACATCCTCGACTATGACCTTCTTTATAACCAGAGAACAGTTCTCTGTAACACTCAGTCTGTCTGATTTAGATTTGGTGTTTTCACCAATCTGCCCAAGTTCAACCAGCTCTACTACTGCTGTGTTTCCTGAACATTCAAAGAGCCATGTAGTATTTTCACATTTTTGCTGACCGTCTATCACATTTTCACAAGGCAAAGTGACGTCATCTCCAACTCTGACAGTGAAGTAGGGGGGAAGTTTTTCAGCTGCTGCTGTTGAGAAAATGATGAAAAATAAAGTGAAATGAGAAAATGTCTGTTATGTTCATAGTTAGTGACGATTATTTCTTTATCCTTAGTTTCCAAGAGTTCACTAAACTCACCACATTAGAAACAACAGATTTGGTTTTCTTAGTTAAATCAAATGTAGCTAATAAAGAATCTTTAATAATATTGATCAAGTTATTTTTTACAATGTGCCTTCCATTTATATATGTGATATATGTATTCTTACCTGTAAACTGAAGCACCGCTGGAAGAAATAAAGAAATCCATTTGAACTCAACCATCATGATTCTCTGAGTCTCTCCTTCTTCTGTCTCTTGTTCTCGTGCTCAGAACTGTCTGAGTTTCTAAACTAGTGCTTTAGTAGAGAGACGCTGCAGCTACTTCCTGTGGTTAGGATGATGTCACTTCCTCATGGTGACTTTTAGTCTGTTTTAGATTTCAGTCTCTGAATTTCTTGTTGATGTCTAAACAGCCAAAAACTCTCTTATAATTTTCACTTTTACATTTTTGAAATGTAGTTTTCTCTCATCCACAGTGACTGACAGAGTCCCAAACTCTTGTGACGACCCGTGTCTGTTGTGTTGTGCTGGTTTGGTGTTTGTGAGTTCCAGGCTGTCTATCGGTGGAACCAAGGCCAGGGTCGTCAGGAGATGTGGCTCACCTGTTCAGCCTGGCTGAGATGTATTTAAGACTGCTGCCAACTCCGCCCGTTCTCTCTCTCTTTTGTTTCCCACGGCACCATGCACCATCCCTGGGAAACGCCAGCTTTCCAGAGTTTGACTCTTCACCTGTCTGTTCATGTGTGCTGTCAACCATCACCATGGATCCTGTCTGTTTTCTAATGAACACTATCTAAAAAAAGTTTATCTTAACTAACCTTCAACTTCCTCTTCTGCTTTTAGGAGGTGAAACACGTCATTGTCACATCACACAGTGGGACTGGACACATTGTTAACTCTGATTGCTGCATCTCATATTGCTGATCAGGAGTGTTAAAAGTTGGCTCCTGCTTGTAACAAAGAGAGGAAGCTCATGCAAACATAAGCTTAATGGTTTTATTGTACCAACTAAACATAAACATAAACTTCAAGGCAAACGTGATAATCAATATTATCAGGACTGTCATGAGTGCATGGGTGAGTGTAAAATGTAATGAGTGCAAAAGGAAAAACTGCATAATAAGTCACAAATGGTTTTACCCTCTAATGATAATCAGATAAACATCAGAAACACACAAGTCTCACAGGAACAGACAGTCGATACTTTATTAGGACAAAGAGGCGCCTATTGAATCCTATTGAAAACTACTTCAACCCCTGGAAGGTTTGGGGTCACTGACCGTAGTTGCAACAAACAGTTCAAACATCGAGATGCTTCCTGTCTGAACTGCTTGGACGTAAAGCATCAAGCCTCCACAATGTTGCAGCAGATTAGTTTAAGACGTGTGAAATGTATTAACATTCATAGCTGGTCAGAGTAGGTGGTCAACAAGTGGCCTGAGTTACTAGATTTTTGTGCATTCTCGGATGAGATTGGGGGCATCCGCATAATTACAGTGAGACATTTTGCTGTTGAGATAGTTTGAACATGTAAAGTTAAAAAAAAGAAAAGGCCCAGGATCGACCCGTGGGGAACTGAACATCCTTTTTCTCTGCTTTTTCATTTCCAATGGACCATATGTATTGTTGCTAACTTTATCGTAATTTGCATATGTGTTGTTGCTAAGCGTTGGTAACTTGACAGCGGAGCCCTAAACGTAAAAAAATTACGCAAAAGAGCTACCCAGGTCGTTAAAAGGCAAAGCCAAAAGGATTCGACCAAGCGTCAATATGTGACGAGTCGGGAATGAGAATGTGTTGCACGGGCCGTTCAAAACCAGAATGTGTCATTTATCACCAATGCAAGGTAGAGCTCATGTTTCTCACTGAGCAAGAGAAAGTAGGGAAGTGGTAGCCATATAAGAGGGAATGAAAGAAAAGAGGAGGCATTAAAGCTGTGCATTTGTTAAGATGTGCTGAGTGTTAATTCTAAAATTGGTTGAGACTGAAGTTTAATCTATTTTATTTTTTCTGAAATTGAGCAACAAATCAAATTAATTTATTTCAAGATGCACATTTACAATAACATTTTTTTAAATGCAGCCTTTATATTACTTAAATTTAGAATGTATTATTAGAGTAGTTATTATTTATCATCCCTTCAGTTTTATGTGAAAACTGACAGTAAATATTGTTTAAATAGTATCTGATTTGTCTCTACAGTCTATGGATTTGATGGTCAGTTGTTGACTAAAAACATATGTTGATACAACTAGGTTATACAGGTGCTGGTCGTATAATTAGAATATCATCAAAAAGTTGATTTATTTCAGTAATTCCATTCAAAAAGTGAAACTTGTATAATGTATACATTCACACAGACTGATATATTTCAGGTGTTCATTCCTTTTAATTTTGATGATTATAACTGACAACTAATGAAAACCCCAAAATCAGTATCTCAGAAAATTTGAATATTGTAAAAAGGTTCAATATTGAAGACACCTGGTGCCACACTCTAATCAGCTAATTAACTCAAAACACCTGCAAAGGCCTTTAAATGGTCTCTCAGTCTAGTTCTGTAGGCTACACAATCATGGGGAAGACTGCTGACTTGACAGCTGTCCAAAAGACGACCATTGACACCTTGCACAAAGAGGGCAAGACACAAAAAGGTCATTGCTAAAGAGGCTGGCTGTTCACAGAGCTCTGTGTCCAAGCACATTAATAGAGAGGCGAAGGGAAGGAAAAGATGTGGTAGAAAAAAGTGTACAAGCAATAGGGATAACCGCACCCTGGAGAGGATTGTGAAACAAAAGCCATTCAAAAATGTGGGGGAGATTCACAAAGAGTGGACTGCAGCTGGAGTCAGTGCTTCAAGAACCACCACGCACAGACGTATGCAAGACATGATTTCAGCTGTCGCATTCCTTGTGTCAAGCCACTCTTAACAAGACACAGCGTCCGAAGCGTCTCACCTGGGCTAAAGACAAAAAGGACTGGACTGCTGCTGAGTGGTCCAAAGTTATGTTTTCTCTGATGAAAGTAAATTTTACATTTCCTTTGGAAATCAAGGTCCCAGAGTC